ATTTATACACGATGTAGTAATACACTATGTAATTTATACACGTAGTAATAAACTATATAATTTATACACGTAGTAATACACTATGTAATTTATACACGTAGTAATACACTATGTAATTTATACACAATGTAGTAATACACTATGTAATTTATACACGTAGTAATACACAATGTAATTTATACACGATGTAGTAATACACTATGCAATTTATACACGTAGTAATACACAATGTAATTTATACACGATGTAAATACTACACTATGTAATTTATACGCAATTTAGTAATACGCTATGTATGGAGTACTTGGCCAGACCGGCAAAATGATAGTGACGGAGTGAAAATATTTGTGTTTTCCATCCGTTACTCTCATCTCGGGACTGTATTCGCACTTTCCATCAGGCGCGGTGCAGTCATTTTGCCGAGTCACAATAAAATAAAAAAAAACAACTTAGGTTTTCGCGATTGTTACACATGGAAATGAGACTATTTTCTCGGATCTAAATCTAAGTATTTGTTTTTTCAAAACAAACCAACGTTTCGGGCCCTTCACAGGACTCTAGGAGCCATCATCATAATTTCATTCCCTAAATACACTATGTAGTTAATACATGAAGTAGTAACACGCTATGTAGTTAATACACAATGTAGTAATTAATAAATTATGTATAATAGTAATATACAACTGACGTCACCGCCGTGGTCGAGTGGTTTGCACACCGGTTTCCATGGTGTCGCTATCTCTAAGGTCCCGGGTTTGATCCCCGGTCGGGTCTGTGAAGAAACTATATTGTCTCGAGTATGGGTGTTTGTGGTACCGTCGTTGTTTCCGATTTTTAAAACACAAGTGCTTTAGGTACCTACTTTGGGATCTGAGCAACAACGTACGTGATGTTGTGTAATATTTATTTATTCAGTAATAATTTAGAAGTTTGTAGAATTGTATAAAACTGCCTCTGTGGCCGAACGGTTACCATGCCGGACTGCAACGCAGAGGTCCCAGGTTCGATTCCCGGGCCGGGAGAAATGTTTGTATGGCTTACATTTATTTCTCTCGTGAGTTTGGGTGTAATTTGTGGTTGTCTATGTGTGTGTCCATGGCACCCGCGACACAGGGTTTCCCTAGTGCGGGGCTATGTCTAATGTGTGCGTGCGTTATTGTATTGATATAAAATCGAATGAGAAAAAGTCGGTTCAATATCTTATTGAGTTAGTTTATAACTAAGAGAGAATCTATTTAGAGACTATAGTTTAAGAACAAATATAAAACAAAATAAAAAAGATTCAATTATTATGTTATTAAGTTACTAAAAATTATACAACAATTAAAAATTCAACAAAAACCAAACAAAACGTCAACAAAAAAGCACCGACTAAAACACGAAATTACTGTAAAAACATCATGCCGATCGACCTGCATCCATAGTGTACGTACTCGTATTATCGCGAGATACACAACAGCTGATTCGAATTATCGATTCTATGCCTATGGTGTAAATATCTATGGAATAATATTCCGTTTTAGGCATTAAGTACTAGGGGTAATTTATGTTTATCTTTATCATTTCAGTTTCTATCTATTATACTTTGAATACTGTAATTTTTACTTAATATCACGATTGAAACAAATATTCTTTGTTTGTGGTTTATTCTTTGTAATGGTTTACTGCCTCCATGGTCGAACAGTTACCATGTTACTGCCACGCATAGGTCCCAGGTTCGATTCCCGGGCCGGGAGAAATATTCGTAAGGCCTTACTGCGTTACTATTAAAAAAATTTTAAAAATTGTAAAACATTTACTATTTCTATTTGTGAGAGTAATTAAAAATAGTATGCAAGTAACGTAACAATTTGAAATGTCACAGTAATGTTACATAGGATGGGTACTGTGACATTTCAAATTGTTACGTTACT